GATTTATTAGGGAAGGTAGCAGATTACAGTTCAGGCAAGGAATACTCAGGATACAATTGTTCAGTCAGGACAATCTCCTCTCTATCATGCCCACAGGCAGACCTCTTTCTGGTCCTCAGCATCTTAGACTGGCTTCTGCCCTGCTCAGGCAATGTAAAAGAACTTTTTTAGGGCTGCCAATAGATGCCGAAAGGGCATGCCACTCCACCATAAATTTCAGCCTAAGGGCTCAGCTCTAGTTCCCAAGGTGCTGAGCTCCAGCTCTGGGTCAGTAAATGTAGCTCTTCCAAATTAAGTACCTGGAGGTATTGCAGTCCATGGCTGTCTCGTGCTCTGGCTCTGAGTTCTCCGGCTGCTGCTGCTACTCTGCACAGAGAGCTCAAGGTCTAAAGGAGATGCTGCACTCCTAGGTCTTCTTGCGCCCTGGTAGGGAGATTCCAGCCTTTCTGAGATGCCTTGTTTTATGCCCTGCAGGAGACCATCACAATCCTGTTAACAACCAATCACCTAAATCCTGTCAGTGTTTTCCCCAGCCTTCTCTTACCCAGATCCATCAGGAAAAGGTTATTTGGTCCAAGCTACAGAGGGGAGCCCTGGTGGTGTAGTGATTATGAGTTGGGCTGTGATTTGCATGATGGACAATTTGAAACTAGAAGATTGGCCTTCTAGTCCCCTAAACAGTTACAGTCTCGGAAACTCACAGGGGGTCCCTATGACTCCGTACTGGTGCTTGGTTTTTTTGGACAGACTATGACTAGAAGAGCCATATTAAAGAATTCACTGCACTGCATACTCACCAAGCCATACCTTCCCAGACTTCGTCTTCTAAGCACTCTCTCCTTTCATCTCTGCCGCATCTCTAGGGCTGGACTGAAGAGGAAGCTAGTAGCTTGGGTTAGTTCACCATTTTGCCCATACTGATCTACCTGCTACTTATCATTAGTTCCAAGGTTTCCAGAGACTGGCCAATTATCATTGTGCTCTGAAAAGGCTTTCTCAAGAACTTACTGCTAGCAAGTCAATGCTGGCTCATATTGACTCCTGTGAGTTTCCGAGACAGTAACTGTTCACAGGGGTGGAAAGCTCTCTCCCTCCCTTGAGTTTGAAGCGTTGACGCAGTACTATTCATATTCCTATATGAGACTCAGCCCCGTCTTTTTTCATTAGCTTAAACCATGCAAAGTGTTGTAAGAGGGAGGTGTATGCTTGGATACAGGCTACGTTTTAAAGTCAGCATTAATATTCTAGTTACTGTTTGTTAAAACTTGGTACCAGGCACATTACACAATTCTCACAGTGATCCTGTGAGGTATGTACTATTCTCTCATTATACAGATGAAAAAGTTAAGACTTTGAGAGGTTTGTTTACCCAGATTCTCATACCTGGAAAGGGGCGGAGCTGGGATGACAGTGAAAGCTGTCTCCATGCTCACCCACTGCCTCCTAGAGCTTGGGGTGTAGCAGGTAGCAGGTGGGCAAGAATCACAGGAGCTATAGCTTACTTGAAGCACTTTCCAAGCAAGGCCTTAGAGATTTCAGTAAAATGCCTTGTGGCAAACATGTCCTTATAGTTCTAATTTTACCCGTGACTTCTTAGTGTCACCAGGACACATCCACTGGAGTTCAGAGTGGGGAAATGAAATAATCTCTTGCAGTCATTTCAGGGCACTGAATTAAATTACCAAGTCACATGCTGCCTCTTGATTATGTGATTATTTCTTCAGAATCAGTTGATTCATGGGTTCTCTCCCTTAACTCAATCACGGCTCCTTTGCTTTCTGAGTTGTCTAGGAGTATAATGAGCACACAGCTCTCCTTCCTAGCTCAAGCTGACCGTGAAGCTGCATGGGACAGCCATGGTCTTCCCATCATTTACTTTTACTGCTGGCAGTTACTGATGTGCAGCCCGCCCCTTAGCTGCACCGCATTCCATGACACGGTGACCTTAAGAATAGAAGTTGACATCTCGTCAGTAGGGCTTTGCTGTGAGGATGGTGCCAAAGGAGGAGTGAGGATGGCCTTATCCTGAAGTGCTTCTTTCATTGGGGGTCA